GTCGCAGGGCAGTACGTCACGTACACGAACCAAGGCTACGTCTTTGATACGCAGTACCGCTACTAAGCGGCCGTCTCGAGCAGTGCCGGCCTCATATGCGGCATTTGTGTCATGATTGTGCGCAATATTGTCCGCAGCAAGCTCCAGATTCCGGGTAATTGCTGCGTCGACTGTCTCTGCGGCTTCTTCTGCAACTGCGCCACTCCCAACATGGCTGGCGGGCGCCAAGATACTCATGTTTGCCCCCAATCAATGTGCTCGCCGTTCGAGGAGCGAAATCCCCGATTCTACCGCTCTCAATGCGCTGCACAGGAGCACCGGCATTTTCAATTGGGTGCACATGTTTTACGGTCGTACCTGACGCAATTATTGTGGTGCAGAATTCTGCGCTAATTCCAAACCAGATGTGCTCGGCAATATAATTCGGATCAATCCTGGTAGAAACGTTTACGGGGTGTACCAGCATCCCCAGGAGATTACTCCGTATTTTCTGGCTGAGAGCTAATCTATAACTGTCACGCTTGTTATTGCATGTCGCATGGTGTTATAGCGGTGAAAATGTGGTCCAATACACCGCTATAGTTATGGCTCTCGCTCAAAAATCGAGGTCTGGCGCTATATGAGCACTTGGATTGCAGAAGCGCGCGAAGACTGCAGATAGTGACGATGGCGCGTTGGCCCGGGAAAGTCTGCGCACCGCAGCGCAGCGACGGTCGAGTGTTGACAAAAGTTCCTACCAGCCCACCCCTAGTTATGAGGTTTTGTATTACTTGACCCACTTCAAAAACAACGAAGTTTAGTATTATTAGCATCGCACATTCCAAACATGAGCACAACCCAGCCGACGACCAAGACGGCACCACCGACGGCAAATCCAACGACGTCCGTGCCCGACGGCATGGAGGTCGACGCCAACAACCTCGTCGTCGGCCAGTGGAAGGCCGGTATCTGCGGCTGCTTCACCGACGTCATTCCCAACTGCTGCATGGCCTACTGGTGCCCGTGCGTCTCGCTTGCGCAGATCGTACACCGCATCGG